ATAGTGGCCTGCCTCCTCATGACACCTTGTCTCTTTGTTTTTCCAATCTAACTTGCAGGCATTCATCAATGATAAAATTGTCCTGGCTAAACACCCGACACCAGCTTCTGCATGGGCATCAATTGTCATCCCGTCAACCTTCCTAAACCGCAATATGGTGCCCCGCCTCTCAGCAGGAAGTAGTAAGAGAGAAAAAACTTCACCCTTTTCCTAACAATAAAAAGATGGGAATGAAAGGATTTTGCCCTAGATAGGATACTACAGCAGTGGGAGGCCAAACCAAGGGGCTTTATCTTGAGGTCATCTTCCCCGCCCCTAAGCAATTTACCTGTGGTGCAGAATGGATTCCAATCAGCTGCAGGCACATCAGTAATGCCCCTCTAGGCACCACCCCAGACCAAAACTATATGTATGCCCCCCACACCACATGTCTGACAGAAAGCCAGGCCCTGGCAGTCATGGAGCTTCTCTCTGCACCTTTAAAATAAAGGCCACTTTACTTTATATTCTGTCTTCTGTGCCAAAAACTCTTTCAAAAGCAAAGCAAAGTAAAGAAAGAAAAAATTAAAAAACAAAGATTAGTAAAAGGAGGAGGCTGGCTGGACTTGGTCTTGGGGGAGTGAGGGAACTGGGACAGACCCAGGCATAGCAGAGGCACAGAGCTGCCAGCAGTAGTCAGGCACACACCAGATGGCCACTGATCAACAAGGGGAAGGACAATCAAGACAAAGTTCCCTCATCGTTTCTTAGTGCAATCTTCAGCAGTCCAGAACAATGGAATGGGAAAAGGTACGCACAGCAGTGTAAGGCACCACTGCTGAGCTGGGAGCCCAGGCCCTGCCTGTCAGGAGTGTGCCCTTCTCTACGCAGGTCCTGCAGGCAGGCACAGGGCTCTCAGCAACACCCCCCCCCCCACACACACACACATTACGGCACCCTTTATATTCAGCTTTATACTGAGCTGCTTGTTCTGTTTTTGTTCATGCTAATTTGTCTAGAAAGATTCTCTCTTTGACCTCTCCAAGTTTTTCACCTAATTTTCCCTCTATTAAATTACAGCTCAGTCGTCAGTAACAGTGGGAAGCCCTTCCCTGACAAGCTCCTCTAGGCCTTGATCCCAGCTGGGAGCCTGAATACTGATTCCTTAGTACTTTGGATTTGCTAGTTATCATTGTACTTACAAATTTATTAAAATCATGTATTTATGTGTTCTTATCATGTGCACAGGTGAGTCCTAGATAATGTTTCTTATTCACCTTTGGAGCCCCAATACAGAATAGACACAAGTAATTTTTGTTGACTGTGAAGCACTACCATATCACAACCACTTCAGTAGTTCAGGACTTTTGAAATGGAAAGGTAGTAAGTAATCTCCTGCTTTCTTGGTGCACATGGTTTCATCAGTCTTTACGCCCGGGTGACCATATTCTTCCATCTTTCCCTACCAACCCTCCCATCTGTTTATTCTGTGTCTTCTACTCTAAATTCCCACTTGGCATCAAAGCTGCCCTGCCTCATAGGCCAGAATGAGTCCATCTACACCTAAACTTTCCATGGAGTTTTGTGACTCAAATAGGAGGCTGAAGGAGTGGGTTTAGCACACACAGTATCTGCTCTAGTATCAGATCTGGGTTCAAATTCCAGCCCATTTACCAGCTTTGTGACCAAATTCTTCGTAACTCTGAGCTTCATATCTCTGCAGTTTTCAATGCAGATTTGTGTTAAGTTGAATCTCCTAGAAGCAGCTCTAACTTGAATACATATATGTGGGAAGGATCCAGGACAGCACCAGAATCAGAGTGGAGCAAGTGAGATGTTTAGGATGCAGAATTCTCTCAGATACACTCAAGTGCTAATTGTAAACTTTCATGAACCCAACAAAAAAGGAGGCCCCTTACCTAGTTCTGGTGCTAACAGGGAAACTGGATTCAAGTAGCAAGGGAAAGAAGCCAACAGAGTGTTTACAATTAAACTATTGCTGGCAGCTATTGTGTTTCAATCCCACAGGGAATCCTGAGAGAAGGATACAATGTGCCTCACTTATTCTACCTGAGGGGTAGTAAGGAAGATGAACTTACCTTCCAAATTCCTTCACTGGCTAAGTGTTACCCTAGGACATTTCTTCCCTGGCACTTCAGTGTCTTTGCCAACATTACCCAATTTCTCAGGCAGTCACAGGTATTTGCAATAAGTCCAGGTAGACATGGCCAAGAATGAACGACTAAGTGAAATAAGCTAGGCACGGCCTCTGCTGCAGGGTTATTATAAAGATGAAACGAAATAATAACACAACTGCCACACCGAACACAAGTCCCCATATCTCACCCAATCTATAGCAATACACTATAAAGTTCATGGAGCTTCCCAACTTTCCATGAGTTAACAATACCAGCACACACCTCCTCGGGGCCTTCAGAGAGCTCTAAATGTCTAGGATCGAAACTTCCTGGGGACGGTCCACAAGGTTAGGGTAGATACTTTTAAATGTTAACTCAAAAGGACTGTCTCCTCTTGCACCTGGTACTTCACCTTTCTGGCCCTCACTGCAATCAATACTACTTATGACTCATCAGACTAGCATCATATTAGTAACCACTCCTGCCACTAATTTACCATCTTCTATGTGAGAGATATTGTGCTACAGCCATTATACACATTATGTTAGTTCTTAGGAGCCCATAAGGTTGAGTAACTTCCATCAGACACAGTGCAGACTTGGGTAGCTCTGACACACTTTCTACTTCATATTCATTCTTTCACTAATGCTCCAGGTCCACAGCATGGGGAGCATAAGACTGGACAAACAAGTAGCCTTTACCAAAAAACAACAAAAAACAAAAAACAACGGGTGAGCTAGAAAGGAAGTGCTGTTCCCTTAACTCACATTAGCTAATAATTAAGACTGTAGTTTCTGGTCTGGCTGATTCATACGATGGGCCCCTGATCCACATTGTATAGACTGTTCAATGCTAAGCCAAATAATTCACCTTGCAGAAATAGCGTTTTCCTTTTTCTTATCTTCAGTTGGACAGATAAACACACTGTTTATAGAGCTCCCTGTTTATAGAGCTCTTTCTCTAATAAATTGCCATTTAATAAGAGAGGAGGTGAGCCAGGGTTAAGCTGATGGGACATAACTGATAAACTACTTTCCCTTAGAAAGCAAAACAGGAAAATAATCAATACTAAGAGTCAAAATATAGCATTTCCTGTGTAAAGAACAATGTGGTCCTTAGAAAGGAAAACAGGAAAAAAATAATATTAAGAGTCAAAATATAGCATTTCCTGTGAAAGAACAATGTGGTCTTGCTGCCATGGACAAACAGTGGCTTTATTTGTACCTCTAGTCTTTTGTTTCCTCATTTAAAATTAGTTGTAATACTTATGCAGGCATTTCACTGCCTACAATATATAGCTACTATTTAAAAAAAAAAAAAAGGCTACTACACAAGTGATGCTAAACTGGGTGTGGTAGCTTACACCTATAAACCCAGCACTTGGGAGGTTAGACAGGAGGATCACTTTGAGTTCAAGACCAGCCTGGGCTACCAAGTGAGCTCAAAGCCAACCTGAACTGTACAGTGAGACCCTGTCTTAAAAAGACAAACAAACAAACAAAAAAGTGATGCTGGCTGTAATTATCAGTGTCATACAACAGCAAAACATCTATGCAAGAAACAGACAGTGAGCCTGGGAGCGTAGGTCCTAGGCAGGACCCAGAGTGCCAAGAGTGCCCTAGTGTCTTTCCTGGGTGTTCTACCCTGTCCTGTGAACTCCTCAGACTCACACATACCTCATTTTCAATTTAAAATCAAGGAATAGGTAACTCTGGACATGAAAGATCAGAAATTAGGATAATCTGAGTTGTGTGGGAATTTATTCTGGCCTAAGATCCTCTCCCGTCAATAGGCACCTCCCACACACTTTTGCTACATCTTCAAATCAGCTAGCTCTTTTAACACTTTTATTTGGTCATCTCCTTCAGTTATTCATTCCCTTCTCCCATTTGACCACCCCTCAGCTTTGGAATCTTCCCATGTGCTGAGGACAGACCACCCTGCATGCTCCCAGGTGACACAGTGTAGAAAGTGTACTGCTCTGGTAATGTTACTGAAATAGAAGCTGCTGCTGTGGCTATGACCTTTGGCATCAAGAGAACCAACCTTGGTTTCAACAGATGATTACGCATAGCACCCCAACTGGCTAATCTACAGTATTCTGAAAATAATAATTACATAGACACTTATATCCAGACTGGTCATTTACAAATCTTGGGGAGAATGGTAGGATACATCTCGCAAAGGTCCTATGCTCTGCTTGAAAATTTTTCTTCAGGACAACAAAATGAAGTAACAGGTCACTGAATGAAAGAAATAGAATAAGTAGTGAGAATCAACATCCCAGAACCTTCCAGAATAATGTAAGGAACAGTGATGGGAGTAACTGCACAGTGTTCAGAACTGTAACTATAGACTAAGTGAATATAGGTGCTGTGTCAAAGATTAGTAATGAAAGTCCATCAGAACCATGAGTCTAAGAACTTTCTCTACAATTAAAATATTCCCACTCCAAATTCCATGACACACAGAAAATAAAAATCTCCATTAATTGAAATAAGATTTCATACATAGATAAATATATTTAAACTTTCTTTTTAACTGTAAGTAAACAGAATGTTACAAAACACAATACTGTTGTCTGTACAGATCACAGAAAACAAAGAACAGGATGACTGATGAGTGGGTACTGGTGACAAAAATGGTACAATCAAAACTTGCTCAATAATTAACTGGAGGATGCTATGGCTTTATGAACATGGCCTGCCCTTATTATTAACGGTTTTGTCAATGCTTGGATCCAAAAAGTCAGTATTTTCTCCTTCTTCCTCTGCTTGCTTTGGTCCGTGTCCGCCCACCTGGCCGGACTGTAAGCTGCTTTTTGAAGTCTACTAAGCAATCTTTAGCTTCTGAAATGGAAACAAAAGACTTGATGGGCGATTCATTTAAGTTGAGACGTATGAGGGAACTCTGCATCTCTCTGCTGCAGCCTGCCTCTTCCTCTGAAAGTAACCTAGAAGGCAAAACCCAGGTTCAATATATGCACTAAGAACATATTATGCACTAAACCAGGACTTTAACATAATCTTTACAGTAATCCAACCACATAAGTACTATCATTTTGCTTTTACAGACAAAGACACTGGGTAAATCACATAACCTAAAGCCACATGAGGGTTGAGAGAATGAAGATTCACACTTAAATTCCTGATCTGTCTGTAATCTAGGTCAGAAGATCAGGGTTGGATGGTGACAGAGGTACAGAGGAGAAAGGCATAGCTTCTGCTCTACTTGTTTTTAACACCGGAGTAAATGGAGCTATCCATATTAAAAGTACAGGAACACTAGAGAGGAACACTGGAAAGGGAGAGGGGGGAGACAACGGAGTGGGCGGGACAGAGGAGGAGGGAAAAGAATAAATAAACAGACTGCTCATTTACAAATTTCTAGGAAGAATGGAAGGACAGATCTCTCAAAGGTGCTACACTCTGGTTGAAAACTCTAACTGGCTGAGAATGCTCCTTACCTAAGACCATTGCCTGTGGAGAATAGACTGTGGAGAGAAAAGAATACAGGGAAGAGGAGGGAGAAGAGAAGAGATAGTAAGGAAAAGGGAAGAGCAGGAGAGGAAAAGTTATCTTTATATGAACAGTTTTTAAAGTATTACATTACACACAGAATCCAGGACCAAGCCTAAAAGAACTACACTTCAGTGCACACCCCACTCACCTGAAGGTTCCTATTTCTGAAGACTTGGTTTTTATCTCTGCATCTGTGACAAGACAGAAAGTAACAATGGTAATCACACCATACTTTTCTGGTGCTTCCTATGTCCTAGGCACTGCTTTCTATCAGGCCTATTCAAGTAACTCAAATCTTCAATTGTCAGATCAGTGGAATGTGAGTACTAGCATACAACAGATTCAGGTGCTATGAGGTGAACACTTCTGAGTAAAACACTTCTGAATAAATCTGCAAATCTGGACATGAGCAATAAGTACTTGACAATGGGAAATCTGCCACCTGCAGAAGTTCACAACCTGGTGATCTACAGGCAGAAGATTATGCATGGACAGGCTGTTGCCTTTTCATAATTAGGAGAAGACACAACAGATTTGTTTTGTGGGAATAAACTATTAGAACTAGACAGTAAGCAAATCTCATTGCACTCAAGCAAAAGCTCCCTTTCTATAGTCATCTGGTGAATATTAACAGCAACTAGTAACAACAGCAATAATAGCCAATAACATTTATCATGAGCTTACTTATATCAGGGAATAGTTTTTGAGTTTTACTAGATATAACTCTTGTAGTCCGTAAAGTTGGTATTACTAACTCTCAATGTTCTCAATCCACTCTTAACGCTATTTAGAAATAACAGGCACAAGGAGGAGTTACTTTCTCCAACTCCTCAGGAACATACGCTGGAACACTAAACTAAAAGCTGATAATAAAGAAACATCAGGAGGAGATAGTAATGTTTGAATGTCTGCTTTTCCACTCCTGTTCCTTCAGAAAGTCTCCCTGGGGCTTGTATCATTCCCTTGTGATTTAGAAATGTTTTTTCGCAGTTCAACAGGCAGTCCCAATCCCAGGTTTATAAAGCCTGAAATAAAACACATGATGAATAAGGCAGGGTTATGTCTCATCTTCTTTAGGGAATGATGACCTAGATGAGTCTCAAAAGCTGGCCAACTGGGTCAAAAACATACTTACATAACCCTAATAAAGAAGGATTGACAGTGGGTATCTCCACTGGAAGACCTTACACAGAAGCCTAGAAAATCCATCATGGGAGTCTCACCTGTGGTCTTACGCTCAGACTGCTCCAAAAGACTAAGGAGTCGGCCTTCATTGTGGCCTTTTTCCTGTATTCAAAAAAAATAGATGAAAAAGTTACTTACGGCAGAGTCTAAAATATAACTGCCCTTTCTCAGATCACATCTTTTTCCAGAAGAGAAGAGGTGTGGTAGCACAGTTCTAGAGAAGTTTTTCAGTTTCTAATAAATGAAGGTAGACAATCCCAAAAAAGCAAACTATAATGCAGATAATTATATCCCTATGCCAAGACTACATTCCAAGAATATATAGCAGCATCAAGCCAAAACAGTTCACCAAAATCATGTCAAAGAACAGCAGCTTCTAATCTATGACAGATTGGTGGAGATTTAAAATACAGAATAACAGTTTGAGACAGCTTCTTCAGACAGTGACACCAGAAGAACAAACTGCCTCTTTGGTATAAGTAAGCACACACTGATAAACACCAACTCCACATCACCACCTCAAAATCCTCTCATTCACTGAGAAGTCCCCCTTTTCTGGCATGACAGAGGATGGTGTCCTATCTTAGTGCATGCAGTGATTGCTACATTAGTAATCCTAACATGGAATTGCTGGTTTATTTTTCATCTCTAAACCAAGACTTAGTTTTTCTGTTCTCTAATCACAAGGCCCATCTTCCAAATGACAAGGGCCCATACTCTGCAGTTTCCTAAGGCTGGGGACACAAGAAATTCAACAGAATTGATTTCACATGTGTTCCTAGCAGTGTGGGTATGAATTTAATATCCTTTTGGGAAAGAAACTTGGCAGTAATTCCAAAAGATTTTAAAACATTTATATTCATTGGCCTAACAGTTCCACTTCAGGAAATCTAGTCTAAGGAAATAACTGCTGGTAGCAAGTTGACTAATGCTTGCTTGTTTGGTACTGGGAGTCAAACCCAAGACCTTATGCTTGCCAGACAAGCGCTGTGCTACTGAGCTACATCCCCAGCCTGACTGATGTTTTAAATAATCCTATGATACAGAAATATGGTAGAAAAAAACCTGTATCTTAAATACTATTATAATGATTAAGTTACAGTCTATGTGATACAAACAGTAATTTTTGAAAAGGTCTAAAACTAAAACCAGAAAGATGTTTATACTAATAGTAAAATTTTATAAACCCAAGATGGAAAATTATACAAGTACAGTTCATATAGTATGTACTGTGTATGTATGTTAGAGAGAGAGACAGAGAGAGAGAGAGGGAGAGAGAGTATAAAGATAGCACGAGGAAAGAAAGAAAAAGTCTGTGAGAAAGATACAGAGAAAATGAATTACATTAAAATGCATAGGAAAAGGCTGGAAGAAAATAGGCCAAATATTAAAAGCTATTATCTTTGAGTAGCTAAACTATGGGCAATGATTTCCCCTGGTTCTTCAGATTTTTGAAAAATTTTCCTTTTTTGTTTTTTACAATGAACATATATTGCCTTTTAAAATAAAGAGGAAGAAGGCTGAAAGGGAGGGGAAAAACAAAAGCCCAGAATAGAACTTTGGTCTCTTAAATGAAGACAGTTAAGTAGCCTTTTCTCCAAATAACACATACCTTTGGATTCTTCAGCCTCTTCCCTTTCACAGTTGGATATGCTTTGCCACTCCCTTCAGGCCCATCTCCTTGGTCACCTCTTGCAAGCTGGAGACAGGAGTCAACATGACATTGATACTCTCCAAATGGGACCAGGGATTTACAGAGGTAACACTTCTCAAGCCTAGCCAATCAGAAGGGAGAAAAAGCAGTTTTAAAATTTGCTTTTGCCTCTGGGCTCCTGAACATGCCTTAAATTGCCTTTCTACATCTCGAAGTCATTCTAAGGAGGAGACATGTCAACCAATGCAGATTCACTCAGCAGGATCACCAATAAAACTAACCCAACGCCAATCAAAAGGACTGAGTGATTAGCAGTTTCCCTGGCTGTTTCTCTGTACCCTGCTGTTGCAGCAGTGGGATGGTAATGAAATCAGCTCTTCTAACTATCTCAAACAATGCCTACTGCTCCTCAGACATAAAATATTCTGTCAAACTTCTAAAATTAAGTGTAATAGTTTTTTCAAAGGGAAGTTAAAATTTCAACTGAAAAGAGAATACAAAGAGCATTTAGCCAAAATGACACTTCTACTGGGATGGATGAAACTGTATGATTAGTAAATCAAGCCTATCTATATGCTAACTTCTTACAACAACTAGGTGGTTACTAAAAGCGTTGTGTCTGCCACAGACTTTTACATAGTTTCACTAGAGTTATTTTTGCTGTTTTACAACACACAGTTTTGGGAAAGAAGGTGTGTCCTTGAAGTGAGGTTTATTGAGTATTAGTGAAAACAAAATTTTGGGGGCAAAAGAAAAAAAACTGACACTAAGTGTTCACTTTCTCTATGGTCAGTATATGTGTAAGGCCTTTTGAACATAATTTATCAATTAATTCTTCAACACTATTAATAAAGAACTATTTTCCCTAAAATACTTTAGCTATGAATTATCAGAATCTACACATACTTGACTAGTAAGATCATGACTATATTAAACACCTACAGAAAACTTTCTGAAGCATGCCATCTTAGCCATCACTATTCACTAACTACAGCAAGATAGCACTAAGGAAGAATTTCTCTGGAGGTCTTTAAAATAAGAGAAACAAGCCACTCAAGTACTTAATTATCTGGAAGAATGCAACCAAATTCTGCCTTATGAGAAAAGCAACGTAAGTATCCTTCTTCATGTTTTATTAATGAATGCAAAAGGCATTTATTGATTCCTACTACTTGAGAGACAAAGAGAAAAAATTTTAGCCAGTCAGGCTTTGCCACTTTGGTCCACATGATCTTAAAACAGTTAAACATAATTTATCTTTATTTCTTGAAAAAAGAAGAGGAGGAGGGAAGAGGGGAGGAGGAGGAGGAAGAAGAGGAGGAGGAAGCAGGAATAGCTGGGCATAGTGGTGCAATGCCTATCATCCCACCTAAGGAGGATGAAGCAGGAGAATCACAAGTTTGAAGGCAGCTTGGACAATTTTGCGAGACATTGCAAGGATGGAGAGGACAGGGACAGGCACAGGGATGGGACAGATCAGACCAAACCAGATCAGACCAGGTGACAAAATGAGGATATGATTTGCAGTCCCAGTATTGTAAAACTACATAAATTTAAATAAATAGCTAAACTGCTATTGTTGTCTCACACATTTTATTAGATACAGAAGATATAAACATGAATGAAGGCAAATGCATGCCTACAAATAATTCACAGCCTAGTCAGGGATACAAAAATGTTAAAAACAAACAAATCTGCACACAGTCCTAAAAGAGTGTTTACAATACAGTAGAATTCCAAAGAAAGAAGTGATAAGTTCTGCACAACTGGATTAGGGATGACAACTCTGTAATTTAGGGTCTAAGGTCTTTGTTTCAAATATAAAAGTTTCTAGAATATCTGCAAACTATATATGATAAAAGGCTCAAAATTCAACAGCAAAAAGACAAAAAATTTGATTAAAAATTGGGTAATAAGCCCCATTAGACATTTGTCACAAGACATATAAAGCAAGGTCTGATGGCGTATGATGGTAATCTCAGTGCTGAGGAGGCTGAAGCAGGGGGATCACCCTGAATTCAAGGCCAGCCTGGGCTACATAGTGAGTTTAAAGCCATAGCAAGACCCTTCCTCAAAAAACAAAGGCATACAAATGGCCAACGAAGTACATGAAAATATATTCAATGTTACTAATAATCAAGAAAACGCAAATGTATAAACATGAAGAGATACTACTTCACTCTAGTAAGGATGGCATTATCAAAAAGATAAAAGATGATAAATGCTGGAAAGGATATGGAGAAAAACAGAACCCTTGCTCATTTTTTTTTTTTCCTGTCTTTTTCCTTTTTATCGGTACCGAACTCACAATTGCCTGCTTGCAAGGCAGGCACTTATGCGGCTGAGCTAAATCCCCAGCCAGAACCCTTGCTCACTGCTGGTGGGAAAGCAAATTAGTAAATACCATTATGGAAAAGAGTATGGCGGTTCCTCAAAAAAACAAAAATAAACTTCCATATGATCCAGCAATTGTACTTCTGGGTATATGGTTAAGGAAATAAAATCAGTATGGCAAAAAGACATCATTCAGTATGGCACTCTCAGGTTTACTACAGCATTATTTATAATAGCTAAGAAATGTAAATGACCTAAGAATTCAGCAAAGAATGAATGGACAAAGAAAATGTGGTGTATATACACAGTAGCATACTATTCAGTCATAAAAAATAAAATCCTGTCTTTCATGACAACATAAACAGAACTGGAGAGCATTGTATTAAGTGAAATAAGACAAGTCCAGGGGCGAGAAATACAGCTCAGCAATACAGTGCCTGCCAGCCAAATGTGAAGCCCTGAGTTCAATTCCCAGTACTCAAAATAAAATAAGATGAGACAAAGCCCAGAAAAACAAACATATAATAAACTTAGAATACAAAAAAGTTGATCTCATACAAGTTGAGAACAGAACAGTGGTTACCACAACCTGGGGAGAGTAGGCAGTGGAAGGATGAGAGAAGTTGATCGATGGTCACTAAATAATAGGAGTAGGAAGTTCTAGTACACTATTGCACAGTAGCTGACTACAGATAATGCACTACACATTTCAAAAAACTAGAAGAAAGGAAATTAAATGTGTTCACTAAAAAAGAAATGAACATTTGAGGAAATATGTTTATTTGACTTCAACATTTTACAATGTATATATGTATCAAAATACCACGTTTTCATTTATCAATTTTGAAAAATGAAAAAAACTGAAAGTTTCCGCTCTAATATACTATTGATAAAATCTTTGCTTTTAGGAAGCACAACCTACATCTGATCCTTTCCTTAGAAAGGGTTTTCTTAAGTCAAGCTGTAACCAGCAGCCCAAGGAAGTCTGTGTTGCCCAACCTTTCACAACTCAACTTCTGCACCATTGCACAATACGTTCACTGCTTCCCCAAAGCACTAAAAACCAATTTACAAGTTTAACAAAAACAGAAACTTGAGGGCAATGTGGAACTCGAGTAGGTGGCAGGATCATTTTTAGTATTTTAGTTTCATTTTTAGAGAAAAGGGTTACAGACATGAACTATGCTGCCATAAACTGGGAAGGAGAAAAAGAAATTCAGGCATCCACGCAATGCAGCGAATGGCAGGCCAAAGAAATACACGATGAGATAGGCAGTGGGGTCTTTATTTGGTTCAAGCAATGACATGTTAAACAAGAGTTCAGTGAAGGCAGCACAATTACTTACTTGTCAATGTCTAGGGAAGTCTGTGCAGATGTCCCTTTGTCAGTCTTGCTCCTAGCCTCTCTTTGTCTCCGAGTCAACACTTTAAAAAAATACATATTTATATATATTGTTAGCCAGGAAGAGACTCTGAATATAAAAGACAAAAATGTATAGGAAAAAGCAAAGTTAAAGCGTTATTCTGTGAGAAGATGCACACTGCCTGCAAAGCCTCAATCTTTCAGTATTTGAGGATAATACCTGTAATACCTATACTGAAATTGCCAAACACAAGACATTCTCCTATTTGCTAAGCCTTGAGATCTAAATATCTCGTTCACTCCAAGAAAGGATTTTGTGTACTACCTCAACCTGCAGCAATCAAAGGAAAGATCTGTACTTTTCCAAGCAGTATTCTACTTGGTATGACACAATGCAATGAAGTACTCTACAAGATACAGTAATGCTAGCTACATCTGAGTACCTACATAAACTCCAATCTACAAAATTCTGACAAGTGCTCCATTTGTAAGTGAGAAAACTGCCCTATGGAAGGGCAGTTTAACACTACCAGTCTCTTTGACTATACTAATCCAACCTTCTACTTCTAGCAGATACAGATGGCTTTAGCCCAGATAATACACAAATACTTTGTCTTCCACCAAACAATACCTATTTATAAAATCAATTCCTTAAGGGATCTTGAAATTTATTTAATCAATTGTTTTCCAAGATTTATTCCTTGCCATAACAAGGAAACTGATCATTTCACTTGAAATCCAGGTATGTTATCCCCCTAATATGTGAAATGCCCACAACAGAGAACTTAGAAAGGCACCAGTTCACAGAATAACTTAGGCTGTGAATTATTTAGCTAGTCATGGATACAGCAAACTTTTTCTGTGGGTCCACATGGCAAATATTTTATGCTCAGAAAGTCTCTATTACAACTATTCAATTCTACATGGCAATGGGAAGTACTGACTTGGAGACAATGGGTGTGACTGCATTCCAGTCAAGATTTATTTACTTATTGATTGTCTTTTTCAGACAGGGTCTCCATATGCAGCTCAAACTGGCTCAGGCTTGTCTTGAACTTGTAATGATCCTCTTGCCTCAGCCTCCTGAATGTGCCACCATGCCTGGTTCAGACTTTATTTATAATAACCAGTCTCTGGCTGGGTTTGGCTCATGGCCGGTCATAGCTTTTTAGTCATAGAAAAAATACATTTTATAAATATCCCTGACAAACAATCACATAGTCTAATCTTGAGTATGAAGGAAATTCACTTTCTCCTAGGACAGTGGTGGAGAATCTATGGCACATGTATTTTCTTTTAAGACAAACATGTTTAACGTATTTAGTTTTTTTTTTTTTAAACTAAAACTTCAGTATGAATACTGAAGGTTTAGTAGCAGTGATGGCACTTTGTGATAAATAAGTGGGTTTTGAGTTGCACTTTCAATATCTGTCTCTGAAAAGTTCACCATCACTGTTTTAGGGAAGCCCAGTATATTACTATATGGCAATCTGGTTCATTATGCATTTACTGGGGGATGTATCAATAAATTTACTACCTTTTCCATAAGTTACAAGTTTCATTATAATCTTGAATTTACTCAGTTGTCTGATCCTCTAAAATGTAACCTCTTGCAGAGATGAGACTGTATCTAATCCCTATTAAAATTTGAACTATAGAACCTTAAATTGCCTGTGTTGGCTCTAATCCTTACAATGATCCTCCAATTGGTATTACTACTTATGCTAAGGGATGGAAACAAAATGAAAAGGCTGACTTTCTCAAGCATTCACAAATGTTAAGTAGTAAAACCAGAACAGAACCTATATTCATGCTTTCCTTTCTTAAATTATCTTGACATACGCAAATTTTTCCATTTTTCTCTGAAAGTGTACCCAAACTGAACCCAATACTCAACAAGGAGTCTGACTAGTAAGGAGAACAGAAGAGCCATAAGCTACCCATCTGGATTCACATTCTACTAACCCAGTCACAGCTCTGCTTGCTTTACTGACAATCCTAGTATTCTATTAGCTTTAACTGAATTTAAAGATAATTAAAATCCATTCACTACCCTTCTAAATCATCTTCAAAAAAGTGTTAGCAAGAGAGCTTAGTTCTAGAGGTAACTAAGCTGCTAGGTATTTTTATTATATTAAATACAGTACTATGTATTTGTCCCTATTCTTTTCAGCATATGATCATCTGCATTGAGATTAGTTCTTTTCCAGCTTTGTGTCAACTGCATACATGATAAACATGCTTTCTACATCTTCATCTATCACTGGGAAAAAATGATTGTAAAGAATACAGTCAAAGGACTGGGGATTTAGCTCAGTGGCATAAGCGCCTGCCTAGCAAGTGCAAGATCCTAAGTTCAATCCCCGGTACTGCAAAAAAAAAAAAAAAAAAAAAAAAAAAAAAAAAAAAAAAGAATACAGTCAAGGACAGAAAACTATGGCATGTTATAAGAGAAGCCTGTCTTCTCTCTGGTGTAAATTTCCTTTCTGCAATGAATCTTCAATGTGCAAGTAATTTGGGGAGGTATAGAAAAACTGAAGCGGGGCCCTTCCTTTCAAGGAGCTTACAGTTTACTGAAGATAGTACGTACACTCAAATAACTATAACATATATAAACAATAGGCACAATAAGCACAAATATGAGATATACATGATAAATAAATATTACACATAAAAGTAGTTAATGTTTATGCTACTGGGAAGAATGACAGGAACACTTGGGGATTAGAAGAGGAAGAAACATTTTTACTTTGTACTCTTTGTACTGTTGAATTAAAAATTAAAAGGGGAAAGACAGTATTAAGCACAGGTTAGAGTATGGGATCTATTTCTAAGGTTCTTTCCAATTCACAAATTTTATAAGAAAAATTAAAGTACTACAAGAAAAAAACATCCATAACACAGATGTAGAACCAGCTTCAAATCCATCTTCTATCAGCCAGCCTATACTTCTCTATGATATGTGTAAGAAATTCATGAGAGATTCATCAAGTGCTTTCCTGAAACCAATTCTTAAAAGCCTGGCATATGAAAGATTACTGAATCTCTTAAGGACTTTCTCCTTGCCCCTTTATATTTGTCCTCCATCTTTACTACCAAGTATTAAAAACAAAATTGGAAACTACAGACAGGGCTGGAGAAAGAAATAATTGCTTTTAGCACCTTACATATTCCTCCATTGCACTTAGCACATTTCTGTTCTTACTCACTCACATGTCATTCTCCCTTCTTACACCATGCCATTTCTGAATTCAGAGATGCTGTTTTTGTTAAAACGAAAAGTATGTGATCAGTGTCCTCTCAGCAGAGGCTAGGCCAGATTAGATGCTAATAAATACTTGCCCAATTAAATTGTATCAATAAAGTCTAGAGAAAAAAGTTCATTTTATGAAGACCTACCCCATGCCAGAGAATTAGAAACGTAAGCTCTAATCTTTACAACAAATCCCAGCATTTCTATTTTATGAATTATAAAATATTAAATAACTTGATCAAGGTCACAAAGCTAAAAACAACTAACAAGCACAGGGAATGTTACACAAGTCTGACTGGAAAAAAGATATTCTACCACAGTGGGCTGCCTCTTCTGGGAAAGAAGGTAAAGGATGGGAAAAGAAAAAGTGGTAAATGGTAAGTGACTAGTCAAGTAGAAAAGAATCTGCCAGGACAGGCTTGGCAGATGGCTAGGAACTACACAGCAACTGTTATTAAATGTTATGATTCAGAATAGCCTGGACCAGTCTTTGCAGTACTATTCCTTTGAAATTGTTTCTTCAAAACTGAAAAAAAAATTAGCTGTTCTAAAGGAGCCACCTACTGTGGTTTCTGAAGGCTGAGATAGACATGTCATATAGATGTATGCAGAGAATTCAGTATGAAATCTAGTCAGGCACTGTTAAGAGAGATTGGGCAGAATGACGGTGGTTAAACTCATCCTCAACCTCAAAACCACCTCAGAAGAAAACAACAAGAAGCATATTCTAGCAAGGGGGAGTATTTTAAGAGGGGTTAATGGTAATGTTCCTTTTATTATAACAAAACTTGAAATTTTAACATTCACTGTATTTTTGGAATAGTCTTCATATTTTATCATAGATGGTAATAAAGTTTTAGTGAAAAAAAAAAGGTAACAAGTAGCTACAGAGTTGTGTGTGTTCCTACAATGACCACTGCTCCTCCAGCATAGCACTTCCTCTGTGGGACAGAGGGAAGAAGGGTAAGTGCCCATCACCAGTACCTACTGAGGCACTTAACTCCCTCCCTGCCCCTCCTTCCTATACAGTCTACAGAGACTAGTTTCAACACAAAGGCTATTAAGAGAGGTAATTATCCACCACTCCTTTAGCATGTGGCTACTTTAATCCCAATTAGAATTAAATATAATTTAAAACTGAACTACTCAGTCCCATGAGCCACATTTCAAGTACTCAACAGCCACAGGTAGCTACCTTATTTGACAGCATAGATACAGAAATTTTCTATCATTGCAAAAGTCCTACTATAGTGTTTCTCCTTTAAGAGATAACTAGTACTAATCTTAGCATGCCTTAAAGCCATTTACTTTGGTTACTACAAGAAATCCGAGATATTTTTGACATACCCTCATTATCTGAATACTTAAGAGTTCATTTTGTTCTAGTGGACCTTTTATGATTTACCACAATCATTTGACTGAGTTTCTGTCTTTCAAATATGTATGTTTTGGGGGCTGGGGTTTTAGCTCAGCGGCATAAGCGCCTGCCTTGCAAGCAAGCAGTTGTGAGTTTGATCCCCGGTACCAATAAAAAGGAAAAAGAAAAAAAAAATGTATGTTTTTATGTCATTTTTTCCAAATTGTTCTATCTACAATCTCCAGTGCCATGTTGAACAGAAATTCCAAGAAAGGACAACCTTATCCTATTCCTGATCTTATGAAAAGCTTTTAGTCTTTCACCATTAAATACAATAAGAGCGTGAGTTGTTCACAGATGTTCTCTATCAAGTTAAGAAGTTCCTATACAGTTCTACTTTACTGAGTATTTTATCACAAAGATATGTGTAATCTATCAAATATCTTTTCTGT